AAACCTCTCGCAAATGACGAGAATTTGGCTCGTAAACTGACATTTTCTATCGAGAATAACTTTATGATGCAGACACAAATCGACTAATGTGTCTATGGAGTTGTGTTAACAGATGCCCAAGTTTATTGCATGACGTCTATGATCTATTTATTTCGACCACTACTTACCGCTAAAGCCATCTATAGGAAAACGGCGGAAGCAAAGTTGTACACCTAATACATATATATTTTTATGTTTTAAAAATAATTCCTGTTTTGTCAAACGCAGAAATGTAGAGAGCATCTAAAATGTTTAAAAAATTTAATTATCATTTCCATTCTAATTAGGCTGAATAAAAGAAATATATGAAACAATTATACCAACCTGTATTTTATTAATCATCCTGTGCGTGTGGATTCTATTTTCCTTCCTGCATATTATATCTAAGAGAACAGCTAAATGCAGTATTATTATTTTATAGATCATCTGTATGTATAATTGCAGCAACTACATACTCGCTAACTTCTGGCTCATCTTCATCACTACTACTATTGATGAACTACCCCAATAAGGCATTTTATAACATTTGATGCGTACTTGATTTACTTGGATACAAAAAATCTCACTACTTAATGCGCAACATTTATATATTTGAATTTCTGAAGACGAAATACCAACATCGTAGAATGAATCTACCTTTTGAAATTTCTTTACAACCAAATAATATATGGCTTGTTCATGAAGATATTGACAATGAGGCAAATCGATCCATCGTGTAAAATACAGCAATTATTTCGTATATCCAAACTGAACAAAACTCCATTGAATACCAATTTACGATACTGACAGCTGCTGGGATTAACATTAGGCGGAAGAGGACCTCCATTATACGCTGCACATACTTGCGTAGAAAAATCAATGAGTTTGGAAAAATGAATTTGGGTACGATGTAAATTTGTTTCACGAGCTTCCATCTCTGCCATCCTATTGGAAAACTGTTGAAGAGGAAAGTTAGGTTTTCTACAGTATTTTCTGAAAATTGACATATTATTTTCATATGGGAAAGCAGAAAATGAATCAAGGGGGCCTAGCTGCCGCACATCATTTGTGAGATGAAGAAGACCGTGCACATTATATGAAATGAATGTTGAACCATAAAGATTCTCACATCGAGCAACAAATTTTTGTAGAACAAGTTCAGCAAAGTTTAAATATGCTTTTGACGGTGAAGTGGATACCAATATTCTTATGGCAGTATGCAAAAACAAAAAATGAGTATATACTTGTTGATTCAGAACACCATACGTTACTACTGGACCTGTATATAGCAGAAATTGACGAAATTCTGTTGCCTTGTATTTAGTAAATGCATGAATTGCTCTAGGATGTCTTGCAAATTCTGATGGACAATATGTTTTAAGATTCTCTAATCTTTGAGATATTATAGCAATGAATCTTGCTGATAACTTTGTGTGAAAAACGTGTATATTTACCACAAATCCATGCGGATAAAAGTTTCTTCATAACTCCCAAGCATACCAGATGCATATATTCGAAAGGAACTTGTGAAACCATATCTATAGGTAACATTGACAATGGACTTTTGCCATCTTTATGATGATCCTCATCTATACACTTGATATATTCTTCATATGTTCGGAGAGGATGATTAATACCACCAAACGTAAACCTGCCTTCACATCGTATATCTGAAACTTTACATTTTGCGGTAAGATTATCGAAAACTACATATTTTACGAGATATTTTATTTTTTATATCAAAATATGTCAGATTAAAATATAAAATAACTCAAAAAGTACTTAATGAAAAAATACTTTATTATAGTGTTTTGGAAAGCTCTCGACATAAGTTATAAGAATATGCAATGAAAAATGAGGGTTTCCATTTAAGAATTTGAAAGTGACCTTCATGTGACCTTCGAATGACTATCCAAGGTCACATCAATGGCACCATCTTATGTCCCCCTTCGAACCAAACAACTTTTGTCTGAAACGTTTTTCCGTATCTTCCATATTTTTCGAGATATTTGACTGGCTCTTTTAAAATAGACCACCCTGTAGGGATGGATGAAGACGTGCTGGGGATTTCGTCTCTCCGTAGCAATCGGCACTGCATCCATGGAGCGAGATTCCAACATCGCTCTGGAGCCGTATGTACTGTGTTGGAGTGACGTAAAGTGCGAGGTCTGAATATCTCAGTGGTAAGAGCAGTTGCCCGGAAAGCTAAAGACTCGGGTTCGATTCCCGATTCAGCCACTTGTACCTCGCATATTTTTTCAGACCCGCAAATGTTGTTTTCTAACAATTATTTGTCGGGCTGAGGAAGTGTGTAAACGCCCTACACAGATACGACAGTGCCGCTGCCACGGAAGAGATGGATGCTTGGTTCGTGCCTCTCCCGCCTTAAATCCCCCCCTCGCTTCACTCGAATCCGAGAATCGATTCCATGGGGATCGGAAGGGAACCGAAGTCCCTGACAATTCCTTTAATCAAAGAAATATGTTGGACATCGAAACGTGGGCATTGCCAGAAAACATGATTCATTTCCTCTGTGACACCACATACCCAGATAGCGAAGTCTGCCAAAAACAAATTTTATGGAAACTTGCTACAGATTTTGTTGACAAGACGAATGCAAATTTGATACAAAATCTGTTTTATCCCATGATGTCACCACAATACCAGCAGAAATGTAACAAAATCTACTTAATTACTAATCTACATAATTTGATAGCAAATTGAAGTTAAAAACCGAGCAAAGCTTGCTGACATGACTGGCATTAGATTGTCGGCAGAAACTGAGCAAGATCTAGCGTGCAGAATCTGACGGCAGATTGGCAGCAAAAACTGAACAAAACCTGCAAATTAACTATTATTTAAAATAGTATAGCTCAGTTGCTTACTGCTACGCGGCGCGTTATTCACTATCTATACCCGTATTCAAGTTTTTGTCATGAGTGTATATAAAGGGTGCGTTCGGGGAGACGCTATTCGCGCTATTTAGCGCTATCGGCTGTTCGGGGAGCTAGTTGGTAGCGCTATCAAACGCAATCATGACGTCATTAATGGTAATGTGCTACGTCATAACTGCGCGCTATCAACGCTATTCCTTCCGAGGTAGTGTGTTGGTAGCGTTAGCGTTTGCGAACTCCGTGAACACGAACGCTGCGCTGTGATCATTTAACATCTACCGAACATCTATCGTCGGATATTCTGACAGTGATAATATTTATGTACATAATGGATAATTTCATTGAAATAAATCTTCTGGATGCCGAGACTCAAGAGGAATTAAATCTGAGATTCTCACCGACTATATATAATATTATACAACTAAATAAAATCATATAAAATTGTACACAATTATATGCAAAAGAAATTAAAAATAAGAATAAAAACCAAGTAAAGAAATTCAAAATAAGAGTAAAAACCAAGTAAAGCAATTAAAACAATCATCAAACAACCATAACCTGGTATTCAACGAAACTTACCTGTTTGTGCTCTAAGAGCACTTATATATATATATATATATAGTGCTCTTAGAGCACAAACAGGTAAGTTTCGTTGAATACCAGGTTATGGTTGTTTGATGATTGTTTTAATTGCTTTACTTGGTTTTTACTCTTATTTTGAATTTCTTTACTTGGTTTTTATTCTTATTTTTAATTTCTTTTGCATATAATTGTGTACAATTTTATATGATTTTATTTAGTTGTATAATATTATATATAAGCAATTGCGAAACGGATTCTAACTTGCAATAATTTCTCATTATCAATATTAATGCAACTAATTCAATATACAATATATATTTTGGCTTTTATATAATGGTGATTGAATTTTGAAATGCTAATTCTTTATCTTCTTTGTATTTACTTTCTGTAACTTTTAATGCATGCGTTACAAATATTTTTATGCAGACAAAATATATTACAAAGTAGCTATGCAATAAACAGTAAAGATAACTAAATTATCATTAAAAGTTACAGAATAAGGGGAATGTTCTTTTTGCTTTAATGTTATATTGTTATTTCACGTGCAGATATAAGTTTTGCGACTACATTATTAAATGTTGCACGGCAAGGTGCATGTCTTGGACAAAACAGTGCATGTCTTGGTAAGAATTGTTTTAACAACCATCACTCATAATAACAATATAGTTTATACCTATTGCTTCATGCATGTATGAGACAATCTGTGCAAATTATGGTAATTATTCAGAATCACGGCTCCACCTGCAAATGGGCTGCAAATTTTTTTGATAACTTTTTATACTTAGAGAATAATGTAAATAACAATTTTTAATCGGGCGAGGCTAAAAAAAAAGTTATAGACAAAAAAGCGGAAAAAACGGGGTAATTATTTCGAATAAGGCCTTTTCTGAATTTTGACAAATATGATCGGATCTCTCGGTAAAACTGTTCGTTGTGACTCCAACAGTGATAATCAGTCGGGAAAGCACGTCTCCCATCACCCCCACCCCCCAAAAAAACCGAAAAACCCCCAAAATTACCAAAGCAAAGTGAGCTTCACCCCACAACCCAAATAAAAAAATTTGCAGCCCATTTGCAGGTGGAGCCGTGATTCTGAATAATTACCGAGGAAACATATGGTATGTGATTAATTTTATTTAGTTTTGCCTTGCTATTGGTAAGGTAATTTTTGATAATTGATTATATGCATTTTTTGTAGATGACGTGTCAGCTTTTCTGGAGCAATCTCAAAGAGAAATGGAAGAGGAGAGAGAAGAGAATCTATTGATGGAAAACAAGGAAAGTAAGTAAATTTTACAATATAAAAGGTAATCGTATTTTTTTATGAATGCTATCACTTAACATTATTTGGTTTTTATTATAGATTTTAGATGGTCTCATGAGGCAATAATGTTGTTATTAGAAGAATATAGGCTGCGGGAGTCATCCATGTCATCTGGTAAGATCAGCCACAAAAAAGCATGGAATGAAATTGCAACAATAATGAACAGCAAAGGATATAACGTCTCTGGTAGGCAGTGCATGACAAGAATGAATATATGAAACGTACATATAAAACGATCAAGGACCATAACGCGAAATCAGGCAACAACAAGCGCACGTGGAAATATTATGAAGTAAGTATTACTTTAGTTAACTTTTAGTTAACTTTTTTTGTTCTTTAATTTTTAACTTTTACTTTCTTAACTTTTCCATTTTTACTATTCTTAATGTTAATTGTTCTAATATTAATTGTTTAGGTCATGGAAAGCTTTCTTAGTGAGAAACCCTATATGGCTCCTTTAACGACAGTTTCATCAACAGGATCTATAACATCAAAGAGACCAATATCTCCAAACAGCAATAGTATTTCCACATGCGAATCTGATAATGAAGTTTATCGTAAGTAGCTATTATTCATTGTTAATTAAATATAAACATAAACAATATAAGGCTTTTTACAATTAAATATTAACATAAAAATAGAAAGGCAAATAAGAGGCAGCGTAATTAATAGAGCGCATACTTTAATAACTTTATTATTGTTAATTAAATTAGTAAGACAAAAAATATTTGTTTCCAGGTAAACGTAAAGCTACGGATGTTATGGAAAAGTTAATAGAAAACCGTCGACTAATTGAAGAGACAAAGGAAAGGAGACACAAAGAAAGAATTGAAATGCAAGAAAAACTTTTAGAGAAACTGGATAAGTTTATTGAAAAGATGTAACTAATATACTAATATACTAATATAGAGCTAGAATTTATACTAATATAGAGTTAGGAATTATTCTGGGTGTTTTCCAGCAAGGAATACAGATGACACAATGTAACACACAATACCACATGATTGGCTGTCAAATGAAGAATTTTAAAATTCTGTATTTGATAGCCAATCGTGTGATATTTTGTGTCACACTGTGTTATCTATGTACCTTGCTGGAAAACACTCATTATAATACTAATATAAAGAACTTTGTATCAAAATATTTCTTGTTCTGTTCTTGTTCTGTTATGATATATATGTTAGTATATATCTTGTTCTGAAATGTTAATATATATATATAATTTTAATAAATAAAGATACATTATACATTTCTCATTATACATTTCTTATTTGTAATGTTTCCGCTATTAAATCTCGCTTTGCGACACCTGCATGAACAGCATTACGCATATTTTCATTATTGCCTATCGCACAATCTATTTCCTGTACATCCTCATCTACTTCTATGTTAAGATCGTCACCTCTTATCAAACATATGTTGTGTAATACACAACAAGCAAGAATATGCATTGGAATTAAATCTACTCTATTCATCGCAAGTGTTGTAAGAAGACTTCGAAAGCGTCCTTTTAATAGCCCAAACGCTCTTTCAATTACTATTCTCGCTGAAGCATGCAAGAAATTGTAATTTCGTTGGCGTCCTGTCATGTGACCATTGTCACGATACGGTATTAACCAATTTTCGTGCAGTTTATACGCAAGATCACCAACTAAATGACATTCTTGTGGAAACTTTGACACATCTCCAAGATAGGATTGTACGTCCGACAGACGAAACACTCGTTGATCATGCACAGTTCCTACATGTCCAACATAGCAGTGGGTAAATTTACACGTGTGATCACAGATAGCCTGTAAAGGGACATGCAACCAATAAAGTCCAAATGATTGCACCGAGGATTCTAGTATTGAAGCAAGGTATATTCCAGTATTAAAGAA